TTAGGGCCCTGAGGTGTTGGACCGGGATTCTGGAACTTATCCCCAGATAGATCTAAGCTTGGGTTAGTGTTGTGTTTTCTTTTATAGATTAGTGGCCATTTTTGTTTTTGGCATTTCTTTAATTTCAGGGATGAAATTTCTTAAGTGAGGAAGCTTGTAGTGGCTTGGGTCAGTTTAACCAGACTCATTTTCATTTTTGGTTGGGATACGGGGTTGTCCCGAGTGACGTGGAGCATTTTGAGTGGTCTTGACTGTTGGTGTGCTTTAGGGTGGCTGCTGGGCAGCAGCCCAAGGAATCTGGGTCTGGCCGGTCGGGTCCACGACCTTGTTGGTTGCATCCACGAGATGTTAGGTTGGAGATCGCGCTCGCGAGTAGGCTGCGACTAGGTCGCGACCAAAACATGACTTCAGGTTATTTTTTGCTTGATTTTGATGTCATGATATGGGCTTGAGGGTTTTGTTAAATTGGGGGTTGTTAGGTTATGGTTTTGCTACTACAACTATTTTCGATATACAAAATTGTATGTGGATTTTTAAAAATGGAAAAGCCCCAATTTGTGAAAAACCTTAACAGATATTGTTTTTGAGAGTTGGGATGATTTTGGTAAATGGTTTGGTTGGAAAGAGATGGATGTGGGATTTGAAAACAACGAGTATTATTACTCGTTTGGGAAAATCTTGGGTTATGCTTTGGGATTGTACAAATTATGGTGAGGATGGGTAGTTGTATAATTCATGTGTATCATCTATGCTCAATGGTAGTACATGGTTAAAAGACCTAAGGTTTTTGTCTAAGATGCAAAGAGTTTTTTTTTTTTTTTTTGAAGGAAAATTCTTCAGGTTTATTCAGATAAGGTAAAACGGATGAGAAGATAATAAATGAGTTTTCTTTGAAAGTCTAGTGGGACTTTATAAACAAAGTATCCGCCTATGTATACTCTACTTTGGATAAAAAAAAATGCACATTATATATTTATGTATCATTTGTTAGCATTCATAATCACGTGTATTTATTGATCTTCTTGTTAGGAATCTTTGTAGATCCCTACTGGACATATTTGTTCATCCCACGTTATTGTACTATTTTCAAGAACGGAGTCGGAAACATTGGTTTGAAGATCGAGAAGTTAATTGTCCTTCAAGAGTATTATTTTGTAAAGGGCAAATGAAGATGTATTGTGTAGTGAAGTGTTGAAGTGTTAATATATACTCCTGTGTAATTATTTATTTTGTAAATTTAAATGACAGGGCATGTGTTTGTAATGTATCAGACATTCTATTATTGTAATCATTCCGGAGAGAACATTTTCTTGTTATTCAATCATAATTATTCTTATTATTCCTATTTGCATCATTTAATTAGATTTAAATTAAAGGTTTTGGTAATGTATATGGTAATAAAATTTGGGGCGTGACAATAATTAATCTCAATCTTTCATTCTCTATTCTTTTTTCACTTTTTGCACTTTACATTTTCGTACTCAATCATATTTCTTTTAAATCTAACTTTCTTGCATTCTATTTCATATTAAAGTCATCAATATATAATGAAAAATAAATTTTCAAGATTTTTTTCTTTTTTTATTATAGAAAATGTAAGTTTTTTTGTTCACCTTCATCATTTTTGGTTGATGGATTTTCAAAATTTATTCAGAAATTTAGTATGGAACAAATTATATTTATTCTCAAACTTATTTCTAAAAAAATTTCATATATTTAGTGCAGTGTTTTCGAATTATTTGACATTGTTCATTTGGCTATGTATTTTCAAACATTTAATTATCTAACTTCTTCATATTCTAGTTCTGAACAAAAAATAAATAAATAATTAAAAAAAAAATTCAATATTACATTTCTAAACAAATTACATATGTTCAAAAAAAATTTGGGCAAATTACTTACACTTCCCTTGAGGTTTAACGAAATTACAGATTACCCCTTGAAGTTTCAAAAATTACATCCCACCTCATCGCAATTAACGCCGTTAACGAATATCATAAATTGACTAAAATGCCCTTTTGACAAATAAGGGCAAATTACCTACACCCCCTTGAGGTTTTGTTAAATTATAGATTCCCCTTGAGGTTTAGCTGAATTACAGATTCCCTCCTGAGGTTTAGCTAAATTATAAAATGCAAAATTAAAATGGAAAAAACACTTATCACACTACAAAAAATTAAGGTTTTAGAGACCAAAATTTAGGGACAAAATTATTTTTAGGGGACCAAATATTTATGTTGCGAAAAGTGTCGTTATTATATTTTTAGCAATAAAAATTAAACATTAGTGATTAATTATTATCTTTTTGGTATCAAATTCTTTGCCTCAAAAAATAAACCCTTTTGAGACTAAATTATTTTGTCCCTAAATGTCTATTTATTATTGACATTTTTGAAATTTTATCGCTAAAAGTCTTATTTTTTACTTTTCAAGACAACTTTTTAGCCACTATCCTCACGACGATAGAAATTAGTCCCTAAATATCTTCTGCAACAAAATTTTCACTTTTAGAGATCAAAAAAGTTAGTTTCTAAAACTCTTATATGTTGTAGTGCCAGTCGGTGAAAATATCATAAAATTAACAAATAATTAAATAAGTTAAAAGTACAAGAAATGGCTTGTCAAAAAATTCTTAGAATATGTTTGGTTTAATTTTTAGAAATTTTTTTTAAAATTTTTTTAAAAAAAATAAAATATTAATTTGGTTAAGAAATGAAAAATAAAAAATTATTATTATTTTTATATAATTTTATCTCTTGAGTGGTTAGAAATAATTTTTACAAATTAAATATATTTTTTCATATTTATTTTTATTAAATTAGTTTTTATTTTTTAAAAAAATTCTGAAAAAAATTCCTAAATAACAAATCAAATATGGTTCTAAAAACTTAATTTTTTTTTCCATCTAACATAATTATTTTGTAAATTTTGTTGATTTATCAAAGGGATTTTAGCAAGGGCAATATTGTCCATCAATTTATATTTTGGTGATGTCAGCTAACCATTTTTAACGTTTAGTTAACGGTAGGGGTTAAATTGTTATACAAATATAAATCTCAGGGGGCAAGATGTAATTTCTAAAATCTCAGGGAAGAATTTGTAATTTAGCTAAACCTCAAGGGAGGTGTAGGTAATTTGCCCAAAATTTTTTTAACATACTTTAATTCTATTCGGAAAAAAAAAAAATGCACATCCATTTTTCTCTTTTCCCTTATTTTCCGTCTCGCCCTCCATGGCCTCCTCGACACCACAACCTCACTCGAAATTATTGCTCTACCTCATGTGGTACTCTCTCTCTCTCTCTCTCCTTTGTTGATTTGTGTTGCTTTCTTCTTGCAACTGTATTTGTATATGATCCTTTGGATTCCCAATTCTCCAAATCCAAGGCTGGTCGCTAATATGTGTTCGGGCAAATTTGATCTTGTAAGCAATGGCGAAGGAACGTTGGGCTTAGGGGGGTCATGTGCCTTCTCTAACTTTTGAATTTTTTATTCTTATTTTTTTTGTTTTGTTTTGTTTTAGTGGGGTCTAGCTTTCACACATAGACACAGTGCCCCTTCTAATACACAATCTCAAACCCACTGACGCACATGCCACACGCACTCACGTTTGTTTGTTTGTTTTTTTTTTTTTTTTTGGAATCCCAATTCCAACCAAATACTGACACACAACTTTTTTTTTGGTGAGTGCACATAACTCCAATTACAGCAAAGTTAAAACTCTAAAACCCTAAAAGTGTATGAAATTTTTTATTTTTTTATTTATTCACAGTACTTGTTAAGTATCTTTGTATTTTCTCTGTCTTCTTTGTCTCCCTTTGTTGATTGCTTTGCAATTTACCGACTCGCGATTCAACAAATTAGGATCACACAACACAAATTTGGGACCACACTACAACCTTGGTATCTTCTCTTCATTTTTTACAGGTAACTTTATTTATTTATTTTTTTACTTTTAAATAAAAATTATGAGTATTAATTTACAGTTATTTGTTAAGTTATGATTTGTAAAAAAGAAAATTATTTGTTATTATTTATGTTAAAATAAGAGATTTTGATATGCTAAAATTATGAATCTTAATTGGTGGTGAATTATATTAAAATTAGGGATTTTGGTTTGTTGTTGTTTTTACTAAAATTAGGGATTTGATTTGTGCTAAAATTAAAAGTATTAATTTGCAGTGATTAATATTTAAATTAGGAATTTTGATTTGTTATAATTTGTACTAAAATTAGAAATTTGGATTTGTTGTGATTTGTGCTAATTTAAATTTTTTGATTTGTATTAAAATTAGAGATTTTGATTTGTGGAGGTTTGTGATTTTGATTATGAATTTTTATTTTGATTTTTAGTTTTTTCAAACAGTTATGGAGAAATATTTCAACAGAAAATCAAAATTGGAATCATCTCTTCCTCAAGAATAAGATGATAATTATTTTTTCGCAAAACAAAGTCGCATAGATATCAACTTAGTAGACCTTCTTGCAGATCCAGGACTACGCCTTGGATTATGGACTATAATGCTAATGATTGAGACCAAATTCATAGGGCATATCTACAAAAGGGTCCTTGTCAACCTCGTGATCATAATTTTCCACAAAAATCATTTGGACAAAAACTTCGACGATTTAATCAAGCTTGGTTTAGTGAATTTTCCTAATTAGTTGGAGTATAGCGTAGCAAAAGATGCAGCATTTTGTTTATGTTGTTATCTTTTCAAACCCAATATTAGAGATCAAGCTGGTGGTGATTCTTTTGTTGGTGAGGGTTTCTCAAATTGGAAAAAAAAAAAGAAAAAATTAAGGCTCGTGTTGGAGGTCCCAATAGTGCTCATAATCAAGCTTCGAGTAAATGTCAAGACTTGTTAAACCAAAAACAACATATTCAAACAATTTTTTTCAAACAATCTGATCAAGCTCGAATTAAGTATCAAACCCGTTTGAATTCATTGGTTGATTGTGTCAAATTTCTTCTAAGACAAGGACTTGCATTTCGTGGGCATGATAAATCTGAAAATTCAAGTAATAGGAAATTTTCTTGAACTTCTCAAGTTTCTTGCCGATCATAATGAAGATGTCAAAGTGGTTACATTGAGCAATGCTCCACAAAATCTCAAGTTGACATCTCCTGATATTCAAAAAGACATTGTAAATGTGGCAGCATTTGAAACTATCAATGTGATTATTAAAGATCTTAGTGATGCACTTTTTTCTATTTTGATTGATGAAACCCGTGACATATCAGTCAAGGAGCAAATGGCAGTTGTAATACAATATGTTGACAAAAAAGGCCAAGTGATTGAGCACTTTTTGGGTATTGAGCATGTTGCTAATATGAATGCTCTCTCACTTAAACAAGCTGTGGAAAATTTATTCTCCAGACTTGGATTGAGTATTTCCAGATTGCAGGATCAAGGATATGATGGGGCTAGTAATATGCAAGGTGAGTTCAATGGTCTTAAAACACGTATACTGAAACAGAATCCTTGTGCATATTATGCTCATTGTTTTGCTCATTAATTGCAATTGGCACTTGTTGTCGTGGCAAAGAATCATAATCAAATTGCTTTACTTTTCACTTTTGTTTCTAATGTGGTGAATGTTGTTGGAGCATCATGTAAACGCTGAGATATTATTAGGGAGAAGCAAGCTGCAAAAGTTGCTGAGGCACTTAATACTAGAGAGCTATCTAGTGGGCAAGGCTTAAATCAAGAAACTAATCTTAAACGTACTGGAGATACACGTTGGGGTTCACATTATGGTACTTTAGTCAGCTTGGCTAGTATGTTTTCAACAGTGATTAATGTGCTTAAAATGATTTCGGAGGATAGTTCAAATTCAAAACAACGAGTAGAAGCAAATGTATTATTGGACTCAATTCAATCATTTGAGTTTGTATTCAACCTTCATTTAATGAAAACGATGTTGGCTATTACAAGTGAGTTATCGCAAGTGCTACAAAGGAAAGATCAAGATATTGTTAATGCCATGAATTTAGTTCAAATTTCTAAAGTACGGCTCCAAAAGATGGGGCAGAGTAGGTGGACATCCTTACTTGATGATATTTTGTCTTTTTGTGAAAAGCATGAAATTGATGTTCCCCAAATGGAATATATGTTTGTAGCTCGAGAGAGAAAAAGACGCAATGCTCAAGAAATTACAAATTTATATCACTATCGTGCTGAGTTATTCTACACTGTTTTGGATATGCAAATTCAAGAACTAAATGCTCGTTTCATTGAGTAGAACACTTATCGACATGCTATCCAGTAGTGAGTTCTCAATGTTGAATGGAATTGTCGATCTTGCTAAGAAAATAGTGGAGACTGGAAGAGACAAAGTATATCCATTGATGTATTTGCTCTTGACTTTAGCATTAATCTTACCTGTTGCAACTGCTACTATTGAGAGGGTATTTTCAGCTATGAATATTGTGAAGAATCGGTTGGTTGGTTGATGAATGGGTGATGAATAGATGAATGATAGCTTGGTTGTCTACATTGAGAGAGATATTTTTTTCTGGCATTGACAATGATATTATTATGGAAAGATTTCAAAAGATGAAAACTCATCGGGGTCAATTGTAAAAGTTTAAAATTATAAAATTTTTGTAATGAATATTAATTTTTAACGTTTAACATTAGTTCGAAAAATTATTATTATGTTATTGTTATTGATTGAGGAAGAAAAAATTTGAGATAGTAATTAATAGGTGCCCCTATATTAAATTCATGGCTCCGCCATTAACCACCACATTAGTAAATGATATAAATTTATATTATTTATTGCATTTGTAATATTTTTTACAATTATCATTTTATTTATAATTTGTAAAATAATTATAATATCACAATTCGATTCCAATTAACTCAAGGTCCATGTTATATGTATCTTGTTACGTATTTTTGTGATAAATGTCATGCATTTTTATAGCAGTTACAATAATTTATGATTCATAAATTAAATGACACATTTTCTGATAGTGTTACCCATGTGGTCAAAATATTTTATGAGAAAATTGTTAAAAAGTCCAAGTTAAGGAGGATATAAGGTATTAGGTTCAGTAGATATTTTTTATTGGCGAGAGATCCACTTTTTGTGAAATAGTTTGGTAAGAAATCCTTTTATTTGTTTTAAAGGACATTTTGTTTCCAATTTTACCCCTTAATCCACCTATTGACTTTTTTTATCAGTTGACTTTTTTGACTATCTGTTCAAATTTATATCTATCTGTTGAATCTTTTTCCTTCCTTGTTCAATTTTTTCGCTATTTGTTCACATTTTGAGGATTTCTCTTTGTTTTTATCAGTTGAAAATCTATGTCATAACTTTTTTATTTATTTGTTCAATTTTTTTATCTGTTAAAATAGTTATTCATTTTTTTTTATCTGCTAAAACAGATCTGAACAGGTTTGATCATTTGTTTTATCTGTTAAAAGTCAACTATTCAATGGATATTCAACAGCCCAGCAAGTAACTATTCAACAGCCTAATAAAAGGTTCAATTTGACTTATATCCATTTGTATCTAGATAAATATACTCTAGCTTATTGGTTTTAAAACATATGTTGCAGCTTATCCCCAAAATTCACAAAAAACTTAAATTTCACAAAGCATTTCCATAATCCTAAGGTTAGTGTTATGCTAAGGTAGCCTAGTGGTTACTTAACCAAATTTTCAATATGTGTGTATCAACGGTGACAATGAAGACCTTCACCTCATCACCAATCTTTGCAACTTCTTTCTCTCTATGACCACCTCACCACCACTATCCCCTTTCTGAACCCTTCGCTATAGCCATTTTTCAGCTCTTTTTCTTCCTCTTTTTTTTTCTCCGCCACTGCCAATGATCTCAGATCTGATATTTGAAAGAGATCTATGACAGAGAAAGGGTGACTGTCGAATACATCCCTCGCAGTCGCCTCATGGAGGTGAAGATCGAGTCCGCCGCCGCCGCCGTACTCATTCATTCCCTATTTTTCCATGGTAGATCTGCAGCTATTGTTTGGCCTAAGCTACACACAGAGCAAAGAGAGATGAAGCGATCATCGGTGGAGTACTTGGCATACCTAGACGACCATAGATCGATGATGGTAATGGAATTGACAACGTCGAAGCCCTCGAGATATTGGTAGTAGTGGCAGTGGTAATGGAGTTGTTGGATAAGAGAGATGGGCTTGGTTTCTAAGAGGAGAGAGAGAGAGAGTTGATGTGACGACCCCACCATCTATAATATTTTATATTTGGTTAATTAAGGAGATTTGAAATTTTAATTAGTCGTTATTCTAATCTAATTTGGGAATTATGAGAATTGTAAAATCTGATTCGTATATGATTCTATTAAAGATTTATTTTGAAATTAGAAATTACGGGTCCAAATGGCTTAAGGAAGTGAAATTAAGAAGTTGAATCAATTTAATTTTAATTACGGACCCATTTGAAAGTTTAATTAAATATTCGATTCAATTTAGTAAAATTGAGATTCGATTAATTAGGTCCAAATTAGAGTTAATTAAATTATGAGGATTGAGAATTTTGATTATTATAAATTAAATTTATTTATGGAGTGTCCAATTTGAATATGTGATATATTGACGAAAATTTTGAGTCTGATTAGAAATTGAAGGCCTAAATGATTTGAGAAATCAAAATTAATGATGACAATAATCTTAATTTAATATTTGGAGCCTTTCAGGAGTTTGATTAAAAATCTGATTCAAACTGATAATTTAAATATAATAAATTAGGCCTTAATGGAAGTCAATTGGATTGATCAAGATTAAGAAGTGATTAATTAAGCTAATGTATAATTAATGTGCTAAACTAATCCTAATATACATCACCCCATGAATTAATTTAAGATGGACAAGTGTCCCACTATTTTAATATATATATATATATATATATATAAGAAGAATAAAAATAGAAGGAAAATAAAGTAGAATAAAGAAATGGGTGTGTGTTGCTATACATCATTTATGTTTTTGTTTTTGGCTGGAACAAGAACAGCCGAGTGAGAGAGAGAGAAAACCGAGAGAGAGAGAGAGAGCTCACCTTCATCTTGCTGGAGGAATTTTGATAGAAAATTTGAAAGAAAGGCTAAGGTTAAAGAAAGGAAGAAGAACAAGAAGGAAAAATGGAAGATCATCAAGAAGTTTATCAAATTGATGATTAAATGTAAGGATTTCAAGCTTGAATTTTGTAGAATCCTTGTATTACACTTGAATTAAAGATGGGTTTGGGTTCAATTTCACATAATTTGAAAGAAATTAGAAAACAAAGATGAAGAAATTAAAGTAGGTTCATGGTTATGGAAATTAATTATTTTGGGTTTGATGATATAGTCTTAGATAAAATTAAGCCTCATTGTTACATGCATGGGCAAATTCTACAAGTTTAATACTCTAATTAAACATGCATCATAGGATTTCAAGGTTTTGAGATTTTAATTCATGTTTAAAAGGTTTATGGATTTGAATTTGAGTTTGATGTGAAGAAAATTAATAATAATCCAAATTAGAGCTATTCTAATTAAATTATTTAGTTTTGATTTAATTTCATACATGCAAAGTTTCATAACTCCAATTTCATGATTTAAAGGAAAATAGAAAAGAATTAAGAATCAATTTCATGTAATCTCAAAGAAATTAGTAAAAGGGTGAAGGAATTGAATTAAATTCAAATTGTAGAAATTAAATTAGAATTTCAATTGTACATGCATCATGAATTTTTCAAGAGTTTTGAAAGTTTAATTCATGTTTTAAAATTTGTGGGTTTGAAATTGGGTTTGATATGGAGAAAAATAAATAGGAATAACCGAAGGAAAAATTAGAATCAATGAGAGAAACTGAAAGACAAACAAGTAACCGAATTAAATCGATTGTAGAGTGTAATTGTAATTCTGTTGTGCTTGACTTTATTTATTTAGGTCGGACTTCGAACCATTAGTACATGTACGGAGGAGCCCACTGTGAGTAACAATGTTGTAAAGATATGTTCAAATTGTATTTTTTCTCTGAATGATAAATTATATTGTTTCTAAACGGTTATTTTCTATCGATTGAATGATGATTCTCTTTTGAATTGTATTTGTGGCATCCGTAGCATAGTGTTATCGTTATTGTTAGTGATATTACTATTGTTACAGAGATCTCTGTCAATTCCAAATCTTGGAACTAGTGTTATTGTTTGATGGTCATCAATTGATTGTTTGGTCTTTTAAGACCTAGTGTATTGTTGCTATTGGATGTACCACATATGACCTATAAGAATAAGATTGATTGAATCGATTGAATTGAACGATTGATTGACAAATGATAGTGATTGAAGTGTTCTAATGCTAATCGATTATTTCAAAGACTCTAAAGGACATCATTCTTAACCTCTTTACACATTTGTTATTCACTGGGCTTTAACTTACAGTTTATTATATATATGTAGGTGGTCAAGCACCGAATCAAAGCTAGAGGCATTGACCCGAACCCTTGTTTTGTCAAGCCAGCTATTGTTCCTCATTGTGAGGTTTCGAACTAGCATGTGTTAAGGCGTTTTCGAGTGGCTCAACTTCATCCTTTTGAGTTTTTTAAGTGGAAAGAATGTTTTAAGACTAATGTCAATACTGTTCCAGATGATGGGATTGATTCCTTAACTTATGTTTTGTCTTGTATATATATGATTATGGGCATAAATGGTTATGAATATGGCTATGTACATGAAAGTTTATCTCCATTCAGGTCCTCACAGCTCATTGGACGATATTTGTTATTATTGATTGGCTTCCGCCAGCACCGTTATATTGTATTATTGTCAGTATTCTTAAATAGGCCTTCGGTAATCACGGATTACTGGTCGGTTGCGATACTAAACCTATAGGGACGTGTTTGGGTCGTGACAATTGAGTGATTAAGGTTTAGAATATTGTTGATGACCACCGGAGCATCAGCGCTGAGACTTCATTTTCGAACCAAAAATCGTAGTGCGGTGGTGCGATGAGACTTCATCGATAGAAGTGGTGGTATCGGTGGCAAACAGTGAGGGAGAAAGAGTAGAGGGAAGAGAGAGAGCGATGAGAGAGAGGAAAGTGGCGAAGTTGGGTGGTCGCTGCCATGGTCTGGTAACAAACAAGGTGAGATGGTGGTGGTGGTAGTCGACGACCGTCATTTAAGAGGATGTGGGAGAATGGGTGGAGAAGAGAGACAACTAAGGTTTCATCTCCTTGAGAAGATAAGGAGACAGAGAGAGAAAAT